GTTTGTTTGTTTGTTTGTTTGTTTCATGGCTTGCATTCCACTCAGAGATACTCAAGGCATGATTTTTTAGACACATGAGAGCTGACAGTTGGAAGGTTTGTGGCAGCAGGTGAATTAACACAACAGGCTCAGGATTTCAACTGCAAGCTTCTTAATATTACAGCCAGATCTTAATTTAGAACCTCAATGCCTGTATTTTGGGATCATCATCATCATTACTTGTGTGACAGTAGTACACTTGTCTATGTTGAAATCATGCTTGAGTTGTACTGTGCTAATTAAAGCAGAGACAATTCTTGCCCCTAGAAAATCTGCAATCTAAACAGAGAGGGCAGGTGTGCATGACATGGAAGATGAGCATAGTAAGTTAATACAGCCCCATAATAAGCTAGTAGAGCTAGGATGTCCTTTTCACATTCTCTATCCAGTGTCATATTCACAAAAATTGATTCCTGTGAATTAAATTTGCCTTTTTGCATGCACATCCCAAGTAGGAAACGTAACTATTAAGAGCAGATCACACACGTGAAAGATTTGGTTTGAGACATTCCTCCTCAAAATAAGTCTGAGTTGTGCAGTTTGCCAGGATGGCTCTGAGAAGACCCTTGAGGGTGCCATAGAGCAGCTGCTCTGTTTTGGCAAATGAAGTGATTGTATGCACCACAAAGTTCCACGACCCTTTTGATGATTAAGTAAAATTATCGTGCTGGCTTTTCATACAATCAAAAAAGAGAAGAAAAACAGTTCCCAGAAAGGTTTAGGTTGTTGTTAAATGCATGAGATAATGGTTACCTTCCAAAATAGTTCAGAACAATGCCAAAATCACACCTCTGTGCAAGGAGCCTCTTCCATAGGCTGTGTGGAATTGCCCTCAGCGATGCCATGATCTAATCAGGTGTGGAATTTCCTGAGGAGAAGGAGGCATAGCAGTTAATAGGTGCATGGTTCTGCTTGTGGGTACCTCTGGCTAAAAAATCTTTGATTGCAGGTAGAAGTGATACTAGATAAAAAAAGGAGGACCAGTGGAATAGCTAAGGTACTTGTTGCGTAGTCTCAGGATTAACTCTGCATCACATAAGTCAAAATGAACATCAATGAACAGGCACCCTATGATTCTATATTCTGCTGAGACTTTCTCATCAGCCTTTGAAGGTTTCTTGCTGGCAATATACAAAACAAAAAGAATCAGAAAAGTTTGTTACAGAAATAGTGAACTCACTGGTCAGCAGAACATGCATATTTAGGTACTGCATAATAATGCACATGATGCAGTCTTTTATCTGCAGTATGAGAGTAGCTTCATGAGCTAAGAAAGAAGTGAGGAGTAGGCCTTATTTCACCATTTGTACTATCACAAAAGTAGTGGACAGCTATGGCAATGTATCTGTACAGGTAAAGGGGGAGTGTTTTATGAAATATACAGCTTACTGTTTTCTGAAATACTGTTGTATGAATAAAAAAGATAAAGTGCCCCAATCTTTTTAGTAAAAGAATTGCTTGGATCTCTAATCTTCCTTCATGTCTGCTTTCCTGTTCGCTGGCATGTCTTGCAATGGAGAAAGGTGTGATAATTTCAAAGCAAGTCAGCTGCTTGCTGATTCTCTAAGTGCTTCCATTCATCAACTGTCTTCATTTTTTGTAGAAAATAGAGATATTGCTACTATAGCATTATCATTAATTTTAAAAAATACTGAGTAATTACAAAAGTTATCTGAATAGGGGTGAGGGTTAGGATATAGGCATCTACAGTGTCACCATCCATATTTATTTCCTGAATCCTGAATTTCCTCCTGTTCTGTGAGAGTTAGGAAAATAGTTGTATCATTCATGTCTAGTTTATGCTGTGGCATATAGCTAGGGTTAGGGTTGGTGTCAGAGTAAAGGTCTGGGAACCAAATTTCTTTCTGAATTCTGCAGTACCCTTAGAGTTTGGAGAAAGCGATGTCAGTGGCCAAAAGCTGATGTATTTAGTGTAGGGATCGGCTCCCTGATTTCAGCTTGATGTTTAAGATGATTTTGCAAATTCAAAATTTCAGTAGTCTAGTTTATCTCTGTGTTCTGTAAGGCTCTAAGTTTGAAAGGGAGCAAATGGCAGTATTGACTAATTATTTCCCATTTTCAGTGTGGGGATTGGCGACCTGGTTATATTTTGAGTTGTAATTAAGATTAAGTCTTGGTAGTCTAAAACTGCAGTACCCAAGTTAATTGTTAGTTGCCACAAAGCCACTAGATTTTGGAAAGGGATGGTTCCTAAGAGTCTGAGCCTCAGATTTTGAAAGAGCATTATTAGTTAACAGGCCAGTGGCTTTTTTGTTTTTCTGTTTTCTGTAGGGATCATTTCTCTACAGATATTCCAAGTTAATTGTAGAGTTGTGATTGGGGTAAGAGTTTGAGAAATTAAATCTGAAGAGCTCATTTTAATTTTTTGTTTTCAAGGTTCATAAGAAGAGGACTGGTGTTAAAAGGAATACAGCATTTTGTCTCTTTTTCTGTAAGGCATGATCACCGGACAGCTGCTGTTAGGGTTAAGATCATGTTTCTTTTTAGAGCTTGGGACTCTAAAGACTCTGTATCTGTTTAACTGCTGGGTCAGCCCTCTCAGCTAAGTCGCAGGCTGATGTTGGTCAAGGCAGATTTTTTTGCTTCCTTTATTATGGCGGTTGTTGTGGAAAAGGTTGTAACAAGCATTAGAATTCGAGTTTGTGGAAGAGGTTTTGAAAAGTCGAAGGTAGTGATGGATCCAGGCAAGAATTAATAAGGCTGTTATTTATCATTGTTTTGGATAGAGAGTGACGCCTAACATCTGATTATGATTAGAGTCATGGTTGTGGTTACATTTATGGCTAAGAAATACAAAGCTTTGAGAGAGGAAACTTTATTTAATTTTCGAGGCTTGCAGCTAAGAATAAGGCCAGTATTGATACCTAATGCATATTTTCTCTTTAAAGTTGAGATTTGTCCTGTCTATTATTGAATTTAGAATTAGGTTTGGAGTTGGAAGTCTTGTACAGATGAGTTCATGGTTTTGATTTTATTCACTGCCTGGCTTCAGTCTCTGGCTTGTCCACACTTCTTACATACTAGTTCACTTCTAGACTTCCTTTGTAAGCATATCAATTTGTTTTCCTCAAAGGAGGCCCCTGTACATAGCTGACAGGACTGCTCAGTAATCACAGATGGTTGCAAACCACATCACCTCTTCACTCCCTCCATCAGACAATTTTCTCATGTTCTCTGAACTGATCTTATACCACTGAATACCTTTATACATGCCCACGGGTATGCAATCCACATCTTTGGCCTCACACTCTAAAAAGACCTTCCAGCTATCTGTCTTCATTAATTTAGCACTTCACTTTCAGAAAATTCTGTCTCAGCATTGCACAGGTAGTACATAGGGCTTTGTGATGAACAGGGCCAAGAACTTTGCAGTCTCTTCATAGCTAGATTGCTGTGCTTGGATTAGCCCAGCATAATGCAAAGAAGAGCTAGTGCATACCAATTGGCCAGAAGTCTCTAAGTGTCAGCAGAAAGGATTTTTTGGAATTACTTCCAGAAATCAGAAGACTCTCCTGAGTGGTTCTGAAAAGCTGTTTAATTACAGGGCTCTCTCCTATGTTTGAAACTCCATCCATACTGCTCAGCTAGCTGCACTGGTAAAAAATTTTTCTTTTGTATATAATGTGTATCAGAGACTCATTAGACTTAATATTTTAAAAACATATATCAAAAATTATTGCTATCTCTGAAGGCTTTTTGAAATCTACCTCCCCTGAAACCTTGTGCAATATTATTGAAATCAGTAGTGTTAGATTATCTACACGGAAGAATTTCGTCTAAGTGCTTTTTCTTCAATATCACTGCAACAAGTATTTTTAATTTTGCATATTTCCTTGCTCAACTACCTCTGATTTTTTTGCAAAGAAAAGAAAGAAATCACACCATCTTTTTCTTGTGTAAGACTTGCTTGATTTCTTTTTCTTTCTGTTTATTTTAGCTGCAGAATTCCCTGAAAAGTGATTTGTGCCTTGATCAAGGGCCAGACACGGAGAATATCCCAATCATGTATATCTGCCATGGAATGACACCACAGGTTAGTTTGCTAATGATCTCTGATATTGCTGCTGCTCTTAGTAGACTGTGTAGGAGGAACCATCTTGTACCTGTCATTGTTTTCCTGCAACAATACCTCTGTAAGGTGTTTAGTAGCTCTTTTATAGAAAGCTAGAACATTATTTCTGCCATAAATTGAGAATCACTGGTATACTACCGCTTTGACAATGAAGTTTGTTTATTCATTTTGAAAGAATTTAAGGAATTTGAGTCAGTACTGACCCAGATTTGTTGATAAAAGCTTTCATTTTTGATCTTTAACTGTGCATGTCGTATGAATGAAAAAATGCATTTTAAAACATTTTGCATACATACGTATGTATACTCACAGTTTATTTATACATTATCTGAAGTGACATCTTTTTTACTTGATATATTTTCTGTCTCATTTTCACAAATCTGAAATGTACAGCCACCTTCTTCACACCATACAGCTGTGTCAAATTCCAAACCCTGTTCTTGTGAAAACCCTTCTTCTAAAGCTCCTTTTTTTCTTTCTCTGCTGTTGTCCTGTTACTCTAGTGTGTGCCAAAGGCTCAAATTAGCAAAACCTTTCCATTTTCTTAAACAACAGCTGGATTTATTAACTTGGCAAACAAAAGGGTTAAGACATTGCATCTCCCCAAGTGGCTAAGTATATGGGCATAAGTGAAAGCGTTTCTAGGCAAATCTTGACAGTAAAAATAATGTTACATGGTCTAGAACATGCTTGTCAAAGACAATGTGCAAATTTTGTAACTCTGAAAAGTAACATAAGCAAAAATGACAAAGGAAAGGGATGTATTTGTGGGAGTGATTGGAGAAACTGAAAAATCCCTCCATTTTGAATCATCTTTTTCTCTGACTACCTTTTATTTGTTTTCTCCAAAAGGACCCTATTACGCTCCATTTCAGTTATGGAATGTGGTTTTACTCATGGAATTGTTAGTTAAGTGATTTGACTATACAGCAAATGAATCCTCCTACTATCTCAGAAATAAACACAGAGCAACAAGGTAGTCTTGTCCTCTGTACCTGGATCTTATAATGAGCTAGAAACATGAGTTTGGTGAAATGCGGATATGATTCTGTACTTCCTTGCCAAGTTACACGTGCTGCAACTGTGTTCTGTGCTGGCTGGCTTTGCTAAGGGCCTTTAATATTGATCACTAGTGGCATCATGCTTGAGTAAATTATGAATGATGAAGACAAAAATATCTGAAAATTCCATCCATCAGACTCGCTCACTGCATGGGCTGTGGCTTATTTGTCACATAATTACGTGGTAACCACTGTTTGCCTCCAGGAGGTTTTTAAGTTAGTCCTCAGTGTTTGCTAAGGAACTGTGTAATTCACCCGTGAGCAAGAGCCATTATTCTTAATCTTCTGGCAGGGCGCCATAACTCTCTTCTGGCATATCATCTGTGATAACAGCACACTACAGGCATGATTGTAAATTCCAATTAGAAATTTTAATTATAGTTAAGAGACAAACAACAACAACAAAAAAGTCACTTCAATTAGCACAGTTTAGTGTTCACCAGATCAAGAACTACTGAAGTTCTGCATAAATGAGATAGCAGCAAATAAGTGACAGAGGGAAGAGAGGCAAGGGAAACTCTTCTGCTCCTTTCATAATTACAATGTTGTGTCTCCTTCCCATTACTGTGTATTTAATTTTGTAACTAATGATGTTAAAAAAAAAAACCCAAAAAGGTCTATATATAAGCAAGATCCCGGTAATGAGCAAGGAAGAGTAGACTTCCTTTATGTTAGGGATTATGGTATTAACAGGGAAAGCACTAACAAACATTATTTGGCATACTTCTACGAGATTTCCATTGCACATATTGCATCTCTTGCTTAAGCAAAGCTGTAGCCATTTACATTTCCTCTAGCATATTGGAAATATTTGAATAAATATTCCTTTTAATCTTAGTGAACTTGCCAGTAACCACAAAAGATATTGGCGAGATGCTAATTTTATTCTAGTAGTGGTGAAATGCTATATAAAGGGGCTTATAAGGACTGGCAGTCCTTATCAAAATAGATTAGTCAAAAAGATTAGTCCCCTGATTCAGGACTGCTTGCATGATTGAGGGTTTTGGTGATGTCGTTCTTAGCTCTGGTGCAAAGTTTTACTGTTGCAGCTACACCATTTATGGTTTTAGAGCTGCCACCATGAAGGGCTTTGCACAATTGCATCTAGATGTGCCTTAATATATCTGGCTGCCAGGAACCATTCCCTCATATGCAGTTCAAGTTGCTGTTCTTAGTTAACTGCTATAGCCTCTCTTCTAAATCGGGTAACTTCCTTTTTTTTTTCCCCACTAACCTCTTTCACATGTTTTTGGATTTTCCTCTTTTTGCATGGGAAATGGCTTAGATGAGGTGTTTGACATCAAGTAATAGTTTTGGAATTGTATGTACAGTTACTGTTTTCTTTTAGCATGTTTTATAGAAGAAAGAAATCATTGAAGTCAACAGAAAGGGAACTGCGTATCTGACATTAAAAATCCATGCTCCATTTTTTGCAGACAATATCAAGAATATCATGTGTAGCTTCATAATTAAAAGCAGTAGAAAATGGCAAGGAACTTGCCCTCAAATATTGCAATGAAATGATCAGAAATAATTTTCCCTGCTTTGCTTTGCTTCAGTTTCCTTTTAAATAGACATCAGAATTAGTGATGGTAAGACTTCTGTGATTCAGATTCCCTAACCTTCAGCAATCCACCCCATATGTCTACTGTAACTAACATTAGCATATTCATAGTTCATTCCTGCAAGTATCGTAGAGCGCTTTATAACTGTGTTTATTTTGTAGCACTGTTCTACAAATAGAGAAACTGATGCAAATCTTACGTATGGTTAAATAGTAGGAATGGAATGGAAAAATCAGAACATAATCTGTCTGTTTCCTTAGACCTCTGATACTACCAATGAGAAAGAATTTCTCACAGCAGGGTATTTGGCTTGACCTGAAAAGACAGAGGGCACTTGAAAAACTAGAATCCGCAACTAGGTATGTTGTGTACCCTCATTCTGTCTTCAGAGAGTGCTTCCCAGGGTAGCTGTATTTTGTCCTGGTCCCCAGGAGCCTGGACACTTCAGGAGTTATGATACCATCCACTGAGTAGAGCAACTTGCATGTTCAACCAGTGAAAAAAACAAAATGTGTGGTGATCCTGCAATGCGTTCTTATGAATTTAAGGGAAGAATTGCTATTACTTTATTTTCAGTAAGAATAATTTCATTACAAAATGTTGCCTGGGTAATTATAGATTCTGTTGAGAACTTCTTTGTCTTTCTAAGTGGTAGCATCTGAACAGCATAACTTTCTAAGTTGCTCATCATCCCCCGATTCTGCTGCTAGAGTGTATTGCTTCCTAAGCATCACATCCTTCTATTTCTGCCTTTAGTCACTATCTGTCCAAAATCAACACTGTCATTAGTACTCCCATCTGTACAGCAACATACAGTATGTTGGCATAACTGCCCAGACTCATCAGCAAGAACATCACTATCACACTTGAGCATCTGCTATTACTTCTTGTAGCCACCACGGGTACCGGGCAGCTATTAGATGTGCGTGATGCAAGCCCATAAGGTGGTTTTGGTACCTTTGGTGTGCTGATGGTCAACCATTTGGAAGGGCTGTTTAGTGTATGTCTTAGCCTGTCATATCAAGCCTCTTCTGCTGTGCGGTGCTGCTGCTTCTTAGAACAGCTGAACAAAACTGACTTCTGAAACTACTAAAATTGCTCACATAACAAATGCAACATGGTAAAATAGTTAACAACAGTAGTTAAAATAGGTTCCTACTACACTGTTCAGTGGTGGTAGAACTCGTTGTTTTAGTTGCATGAAAGCAGCTCAGAGGCAAAGCACAACAGCCCACAGTTATTCTTGGCCAAAGAGACGGCTGGGGGTGTGAGAAAGCAGCCCCCCTTCAGTGTGATGACAGAGGGAAACAGGCAAATTGGGAGATGTGGTGGACTGGCAGTAAAGGAGAAAGTGAGGGGAGAGAAATGTAAAGGAAAGAAGGGAAGACAGAAGAATAGTAGTGGTAAACCAGTACAAAACATAAAGTTCATGTGAGGTGTGCATTTTTTGCTGTTTTTTTTTAAAGTGGTTCATGCAGAAAAGGGTAAAGGTACTGTTTTAATTCTTGAACTTTTTCAGTCATGTGTTTAGGCCTTAAAAGGTCCATTTCCAGCAGTGCCCCCACTTTCAATGGAAAAGATGGTTGCTTGCAGTTGCAGTAAGTACATGCCCCAGGCCTGACTGAGTTCTCTTCCTAATTCTGGGAACAGCCTGAGCCTGGATGTTCGGTGTTGTTTAAGACTGCTGTTTAATCAGGCCTGTAATCTTGAAGGCAGACTGATGACAGCGTGTCACTTGCATTAAAACTACTCCTGAGTGATAATTTGGAAGATTCTTTGCTGAGAATGAAACACCACATTATTAGAGACTTTATAACTATCGTATAATAAACAAGTACCATCAGTCAATGAAGTGATATTTTAAATACAGATTTACCTTGAAAAGTGCTTGTGATTGAGGGGATAATGGGCAGTTCTGTGTTCCCTTGTTCAATAGCTTCTGGCTCACATATATTTCTCAATTTATAAGCAGTTAAACCATGAAGCTGATCCAGGGATGTGAAAGTCAATACAAACCAGTTAGATTTTGAGGAATTCAAATTGAGGGTCAGAAGACTACATTGGGAGAATTACTAGAAAAGAAATGCAGATGAGAAGGAACACCCGTTCATATCCTCTCATATTCTTGCAAGAGATTGCAGAACTGACATTCAGAAACCAAAGACTACAGCCCTATCTGGTATGAATTATTGCATCTCTGCTGAAGGCAATGAAAGGAAGTCATGCCAACAAGTAGAGCTATGCCAGTTTACACTGTACGAGACTCTGACCTGAAAGCTTTATGTTGTATTCTAAGCACAGTGTGTGAAGTACTGGAAACAGCAGTTACAAGAAC